GATTCACATCTCTAATTGGAGTCACATTTTGCAGCCTTATACGCCGATAAGGCTGTCTAGATTTACCTGTTTTAGTGATAATTCCGTTTGTTTGATTACTCAACGAGGATTAACTGATATGGTGACAGCTTTGAGGATATGATTGAGGGAATAATTTCAAACAGATTTCAGGCGGATTTTAGCGGATCACCAGTGATCAATAACGATCACTGGTTGTATTGGGGTGAAGCATTGCTCAACAACGATGACCTTTATGCTAATGCTAACGTCAGGTACGTGCACTTCATGCTCTAAACAACATTCTTCGTTTGAATATTCATACAAACGAATCATAAAATGAATCGGAGACAGCGCAATTAAATGAATTGTATAACACTTTTTGAACATATCAACTTGAGTGCTATGTTCAACATGTATTATACAATTTTCATAAAAGAAAATTTATATTATTAATAGTAAGGGAAATTTTGAACATTTCATTTTACAGATTAATCGAACAAACCGAATTTTTGGACGATGAAACGTTCGAAGCGCTGTCTGGTGCGAATGAGGAATATGCGAAACGTGCAACCAGATTGAAATTGGAAAGTGCTGATAAATTGATGTATATTTGTAAGGTGAATTGTTAGCATATTATATCGTTGTTGATTATTTCATTAGCGCTTTGAATAGGAATTGGAATCTTTATTTGGGTTATTGATATAGTCATCTTCAAGAGTGAGCTTTAATTGGGGGTAGTTATGATTGTCATATTAGATTTTAGCCACAATTGCAAATTTATTTATATGCGATATTTTGCTAACTTTGTTTTATTCAATTTATTTGCTAAATTTTTATTATTCGTTGCATATTTAAACGACTCTTATTATTTGCGTTTCAATGATAAGATTATTGCAGGAGCAGCTAGGTCTTGAAGCTGAATTTGCTCATCAAATACTGCCAGAAGGTCGTTGTTCAGTGGATGGTTTTGTTTTCGTGTACGATGTGTCGACAGTAGAAGGCCGATCGTTCGAGATGCAGTCCAACTTTGCACTCAGCACTCTGCAAATGGCCATCAAAACGAAGAAACCGATTGCAATTGCCGCATCGAAAATGGATTCTGCAGATGAGAACGGCAAAAAAGCATTGCAGAGGTTGTTGGCACGAAAGGAACTGAAGTCATCCAATATCCCAACGGTTATTTTCTTTTTCATTTTTAACTTTCACTTATTGAGCAGTCTCAAAAAACTTAACTTTGAGGCTCAATAACTAAAAATGGGGGTAGTTATGATTTTCATATTAGAATTATGATTCTCATATATCAACTTTTTAACTTTTTCAAGTCTTTTTTCTTGCTGTCATATTGCGTCTCATTTTCTTCTAGTTCTATTCACCATTGAATCCTTCAAATATCATTGGATTACCGTCAATATCATTTCAAACAATCCGTGCTTGATCCCTCACATCTAATCACTCTTGATCATTTCATCGTATTTAATGCACTCTATGAAATATGCATCAAATTCAACTCTGCTCAAAATTTTTTCCGATAACTCTGTGAATCAACCTCATTGTTGACCAATGGAAATGTTGCCTAATTAGTGTCACATTGCACAAAGCTTGAATTCGATATCGGCTCTTATCGAAGTGATGATGTTCTTTTAGAATTTCATCGTTCAGAGAGTGCTGCTAATTGGATGCGTATGAATTATTATCTTTTTGCTAAATTGTTGACATACACGTAGTTGTTTAGTTTTTTAAATGATGATAGGATGTATCAATGTTTGTTTAGTTGTGAATATCATTTTTCAGGTGGAAGTGTCCGCGTTTGCAGACGTCAACGTCACAAATCTGTTTGCAATGGTGACATCATTGGTTGAAAAGTGGAAAGTGAAGCCGAAATTGTTGACTTACGTTGATGCGTACAATCAACAAAAGAGACGTGAACGAGAGATATGGTGAGATTCTTTTGAATATTGCGATATTATGAATATATGCATATATAGTACAAATTCAGATTAGAAGAGTTGCAAATTCTGTTCGCTTAACTCTAATCAGACATTTGAATGAATGGAACTGTTTTCATTGTTCTTGCTGATAATCAGCTCTACGTATCGGCGACAATGATTTCATGCAATATTTTCTTTTGTTCGTTTTTGTTTGTTTAGAAATGTTCAGCCGTAATTCTTTTGATAACTTAATAATAATGATCATGATAGTAATATTAAGTAATAATAATACTAGTACTAATAGTAATAATAATAATGACAAATTTAGTGAACGTTACGTGGCTGTACTACGCGAGTTGATGCCAGTGGAAAACTGGCCCCAACGTAAACCAACATGGACGAAACTATTGAGTCGTATGGGATTGGCACGCCATATCGCATACACACATTTCGTCTATGTGTTCGGTCGTATGGAAGCGAAGAAACTCTACCAGAAACATGTGAATGAAGCGCGTGAAATCTGGATGCAGCGAAGGTCGTTCCTCTCGATTGATTCTCACCTGTTCAGATAGTAGTTCATTCGCTTGTGCTCAATAAACTTTCTGTCTCAAACTAGTAGTATATTTTGTTTCAAACCAGTCTTGCTCTACAATCAGTTCATTCTATTATTGTCTATAGAATCGAACAGTGTGAACATTAGCACCGAATGAACACTTTGTAAGCACTGCAACGAATCGATCACCGATTCAGTTTTTTGCAGACTTCAAACCCAAACGCCTCGACTAACACGGGTTTTTGCTGATCTAATTGGTGCCGAGCGAGCAAGGACAATGAAGTGGGTTGATGCCAAGGAGGCAATCTGTAGTCATCCGTTATTCGATGAGTACTTTCAACCACTTGGCACGCTGGCCGCCGATCTCGACCCGTCTAGCCCTCAGGTAGTCGAGAGGCTCGTTGTTGTTTTCATATTGCTGTCATCTGTTCCAATTTCTGCTGATATCTTAATTGCTGATATTTCTTGAAAAAGCCGAAGATGTCCCATATTTCAGCTTGTTTGAATGGAATAATTATAGTGACAAAATCATGAATCTTGCTCACAATCAATTACGATATCGTTTCCAGCAACTCTGAAAATTATTCACACTGAAGTTGAAATGTGTATTATATTCGTTTTGTAGGGGCAGAATACTTGAAAGTTCTTTTAAGAAAGGCATAATTTTTGAAGTACTATGTTTTGAAGAGCAATTGAGTGATTTTTCAGGTTGAAAGGAATCTGAACGATTCGAGAATTCCGGCCGAATTGCTGCTGACGACTGAAGCCGAGCCTACCTATTATGAATTCCAGGTTGCAATTTGTGCAGCTGAAATCTTATTTATTGTCATTATGCGCATTCTGTTGTTTTACTGGAATTCCGAATGTGTGTTCACCAATTGATTTATCATAGCAATTGAAAATCATTTGAATGAGTTCCACGAAAGTATTACTTTGCGGTTACTT